TAGTGGATTTATTAGATAACCTCGTGTAATTAAATTTTCTCATTCTGAAGGGCCTGTACCACTTAGTATATTATCAAATAATATATGTGATATTTTAGGGGTAGAATTTGGAAGAATTATGAAAAAGAAAAAAATTGGTCTAGTTTTAAATCAGATGTACAAGTTGCTTTATATAGTTCTATGTATGTGTCCATGGTAATATTTTATATAATTTAAAACATTTAAGGAAATACTGAATGAGATGTTTATACAGTGTTTTTAAATGTTCATGCTAATTTTTTTCAAGGAGGACTTACTTCGTTTAAAGAAACAGATGAGGGTATTTTGTCAGATATGTCAGCATTACCTGACCAACGTGAATACTACTGTAAAGGAACAGGTTAGTGATTACTATGGATATTATAAATAACCTTGATAAAATCTGAAGTAATATAGAAAATTTAAATGATATTGAGATCTTATATCTGCCTATATATGTCATGTTTTAAAAATATACTATTATATTGGTATATTGATTCATTTCACATGGAGTTTATAATTACATTATACACATCCCTCTTATTGTGGTTGTTCTGTGGTGTTTCTTCTCAACACACATAGTAAACAGATCCATACAAATTATAGGTGTATGAATTACAGAAATCATTCCTAAGTGCAACAAGTATAACAAGTTTACATCAAGGAGGGATGTTCCATAAGGTTTTGTCACCTGCGAGAATGTTATCAGATGTTGACATTCTTGCCCATCATGATCTTTATGTGGACTTTGTCTGAATTATAAATCTTTATTTTACAGAGAGAGGGAGAGAGAGATAGAGAGGTCTCCCATCTGCTGATTTACTCCTCAAGTGGCTGCAATGGCCGGGGCTGGGCCAGGCAGAAACCAGGATCCAGGAACTTCTGGGTCTCCCACATGGGAGCAGGGGCCCAAGGAGTTGGGCTATTTTTTGCTGCTTTCATAGGCACATTAGCCAGGAGCTGGATTGGAAGTGGAGTAGCTGGGACTCGAACTGGTACCTGTATAGGATGCTGGCATTGTTGGCAGAGGCTTAACCTGGTACACCACAATGCCAGCCCCTGAAATAAACTTTTTAATCTTTTTATTCCAAGTGTTGACCTTCCTATCCGATGATTTGATGCTGCTAACATTGATTCTGGAAAGGCTATTATTTGTTTTTATCCTGGCACTAACATGTTTAGTTCTAATTTCCTTATTGAGGATTAAGCTTTATTAGATACATGCTTTATAAGTTATAAACATTGCATAAGAAATATGAATATAGGATAGTTAACAATACTTAAGGTGAAACCAAGGTTTTCATGACCATTTTATATGGCTCAACCTTTGTTATTTTGGGGTAGAATCCCAGTAGTCCCCTTAAGAGCTATTTTTAGAAGTTGTAGTATGTTGGATATTTTAGTATTATTTTATTTCAGAGTATATTTACTTCTGTTCCAAGTAAGTTTTTCAAATATGCTGGCCCTTTTGTTTGACACTTAATCGTTAATTTATTTTGAATATCAATACTAATGTTAACAGAATTTAATTGGACTGCTTGCAGTTAAAATTTTTTATTCAGTGCCCAACTTTTTTTTTCCACCTTACTTTTTTTTCTTCTTTTTTTTTTGACAGGCAGAGTTAGACAGTGAGAGAGAGAGACAGAGAGAGTTAAAGACAGTGAGAGAGAGAGAGAGAGAAAGGTCTTCTTTCCATTGGTTCTCTCCCCAAATGGCTGCAATGGCTAGAGCTGTGCCTATCTGAAGCCAAGAGCTGGGTGCTTCCTCCCAGTCTTCCATGTGGGTTCAGGGACCCAAGCACTTGGGCCATCCTCTACTGCCCTCCCGGGCCACAGCAGAGACCTGGAATGGAAGAGGAGCAACCGGGACTAGAACCCGGGGTGCCAGTGCTGCAGGCAGAGGATTATCCTAGTGAGCCATGGCTCCGGCCTCCTCCTTACTTTTGTACCTCACATACAGAGATGTTCAAGCACACATAAATTAGAAGGTATTTAATGGCCAAAATGCAGTTACTAAATTTTGTGTTTTTCTTATAAAATATCTAAAGTATTTTGTCATAAGTATTACTTTGTTGAGTTCTCTTAAATTTTAAATATACATTTTAAAAAGGTTTTAATAAAGGGTGTGGAAATTTAATTTTAACCCTTGTAATGCAGATAAAAATATCTCTTATGATAAATTGTATTAATTATACCTTCTGTTTCAGTTTTCCTAATAACTTTCAGGAATATGTCCTGCTCAGTTCACTTTAGCAATCAGTTCATGTAAATATTAATATCACTATACTTAACACTTTCTATTTTTACTTTGTGTGTTGCAAGTTTTATAATCTGAAATAACCTGATAGATATAAATTACTACCATATTAGTAAAATGAGGAGAACAGACTGAAGGGGTAAAAATATAAAGAAACAAAAAAAAATGTAGTTCATTCTGAAAAGGCAAAAATATTACAAAGTCCTGCTTTGTACCCTGTATTATAAATTTTCTTGCATTAGGTTTTCTTTAGCATTTAAACAGCTTTCTTTATGCTATATTTGGTAATTTATGGTATATATGGTAATTCATATACCATATAGCTTATACACTGAAAGTGGTTTTTAATGCATTCTTAAAGTGGGCAACTATTACCATGATTTTAGAACATTTTCAATACACCAAAATAGAAAAATCATACCCATTAGTAGGTGCTCCTGATGCCTCCTTGAAAATTCCCAGTCCTACCTCAGCTCTAAGCCATTACTAATCGGTTTTTTATAGATTTGCATATTCTACACAGGAATTATAAATGAATTAATACCATGTGTGGTTCTCGTGAATGTCTGACATAATGTGATGTTTTCAACATGTTTATCCATTATTATGTATTGTTACTTTTTCTTTTTACTATTGAGCTGATATTCTTTTAACATGCTAAGTACAGTTCTCTTACCACACATGATTTGGAAATATTTTTTCTCATTTTGTGTGTTGTCTTCTCTTATTCTGTATGATGTAAGATTTTAATTTTGGTGAAGTCCAGTTTATTTACTTTTACTTGTGGTCTTGGTGTCATACCTAAGATATCTTTACCTAATTGTAGATCATGCAGATTTATTCCTGTATTTTAAGAGTTCTATTGTTTTTGCCCTTAAATTTAGTTTTTTTTTAAAATATTATATATTTATTGAGAAGCAGAGTTACAGACAAAGAGACAGAGAGAAAGGACTTCATCAGCTCTCTCACTCCCCAAATGACCCCAATGGCCAGAGCTGGGCTGATTCAAAGCCAGGAGCCAGGAATTTCCTCAGGGTCTCCCACATGGGTGCAGGGGCCCAAACACTGGGGCTATCCTCCACTGCTTTCCCAGGCCATAAGCAGAGAGCAGAGAGGAATAGCCTGGAAATGAACCTGCTGACCATATGGGTGCCAGTGCCACAGGTGAAGGCTTAGCCTACTATGCCACAGTGCTGGCCCCAACATTTAATTGTTTTTTAATTTATTTTTTAAGGACTACAAATTTCACAAGTACAACTTTAGGAATATAGTTATTCTTCCCACCATACCCACCCTCCCACCCCTCCTCCTACAACCTCTCCCCTTGCCAGTCCCATTCTCCACTAAGATTCATTTTCCTTTTTTTTTCTTAAGATTTATTTATTTTACTTGAAAGTCACAATTACACACATACCCACAGAGTGAGAGTGAGAGAGAGAGAGAGAGAGAGAGAGAAAGGTAGAAGTAGGTAGGTAGGTCTTCCATCTGCTGGTTCACTCCCTGGATGGCTGCAAGGAGCTTCTTCCACATCTCTCTCATGAGTGCAGTGGCCCAAGGACTTGGGCCATCTTCTACTGCTTTCCCAAGCCATAGCAGAGAGTTGGATTGGAAGTGAAGCAGCTGTGTCTGTAACCAGCACCCATGTGGGATGCTGGCACTGCAGGTGGTAGCTTTACTGGCTACGCTACAGTGCCGGCCCCTCTTTTTTGGTTTTTAAGATTTATTTATTTGAAAGAATTACACACAGAGAGAAGGAGAGGCAGAGAGAGAGAGAGAGAGTGAGTGAGGGAGGTCTTCCATCCACTGGTTGGCTCCCCAATTAGCCACAATGGCCAGTGCTGCACCAATCTGAAGCCAGGAAACAGGAGCTTCCTCTAGATCTTCCCACGTGGGTACAGGGACCCAAGGACTTGGGGCCATCTTCCACTGCTTTCCCAGGCCATAGCAGTGAGCTGCATCAGAAGTGGAGTGGCCAGGACTTGAACCAGCACCCATATGGGATCCTGGCACTGCATGCAGCGACTTTTACCTGCTACAAAGTGCTGACTGCAAGATTCATTTTCAGTTAACTTTGTACACAGAAGACCAACTCTGTACTAAGTAAATATTTCAACAATTTGCGCATGTGCGCACACACACACACACAAAACTGAGAACTAATTTTATAGTTAGCAGTGACAATACAACTCATTGAGGACAGTGGTCCTGTCTGGGGAGTTAGTGCATAGTGACTCCTGTTGTTAATTTAACAGTTAGCACTCTTATATATGATGTCCCAGACCACCTGAGGCTCTTGACATGAGCTTCCTAAGCTGTGGAAGCCTTTTGAGTCCAGAAGCTTCATCAGTATTTGGACAAGGCCATGAGCAAAGTGGAAGTTTTCTTCTCCCTTAAGAGAAAAGTACATGCTTTGATGGCCCCTTCTTTCCAATGGGGTCTCACTGACAGAGATACTTCATGTAGAACATTTTTTGCCACAGTATCTTGGCTTTTCATGCCTGAAATGCTTTCATGGGCTTTTCAGCCAGAGCATGAAGCCTTAAGGGCTGATTCTGAGGCCAGAGTGTTACTTAAAGCGATTGTCATTCTGTGAGTTTGCTGTGTGGACTGCGTCCCATGTTGGAACATTCTCTCCTTTTAAATTTTATTTATTACTATTACCAGACGCTTGATCCTATTTATATTATCCTTTTAACACTTATTCCTATCTATATGTTCACTTTATCAAAAATATGGAACACTTCACGTATTTGCATGTTATCCTTGCACAGGGGCCATGTGAATCTTTTCTGTATTATTCCAACTTTAGTGTATGTGCTGCCAAAGTGAGCACCTACATTTAGTTTTATAATCCATTTTTAAAACTTAAATTTCTGAATAGTTTTTAAATTTACAAAATGAAATTTGTAAAGTAGAACATTAATATATTTTTGATTGGCATAGTGACCCCCAAATTCCTTTCCATTTTTGATATAGTGGATAATTAGCTAATAGATAATTAGCATTTTCCACTTATCTTGACTGATTTTACCAGCGTTTTACTACATTTGTAACTATTGAAGGAGTTTGTGTTACGCTCCTTGAAATTCAGTTTCAGCCTTATGTTTAGTAAGGTACAGTCTGGTTTACCTGATGAGTAGTAAGCAAGTCCGTACCTAGTTATCTTTTCTTCACTTCCCTACACATGTTAACAAATCAAAGTACCATGAAGGATTACTACTCAGCTGTTTAAAAAAAAAACTAAGTCATTTCCAACAACATGATTTCAACTGGAAGCCATTATACTTGTGAAATAAGCCAGTATGTTTTCCCTGATCCAATGCAACAAGTAGAATACCTGAAATGTATTTGGACTATGGATGATTGTTTATAGCCCTTGTCTCTTCCATTGAGGAACAATCATTTGTGTAGGTTTTTTTTTTATTGTTTCTTTTCATACTATTAGCAGAGCTCCTCTACTTAGAGTAGGGCCAACTATAGAGCATCAAGTAAACTGATAATAGATCATTGCAAAAGTTAAGAATTGGAATCCAAAAGAGAGGGAAGAATTGGAATGTGGGCAGGAGGGATGGGAAGCCCCACTTTGTACCTAAATTTGTATATATTAAATATATGAAACTTCCATAACTTAAAAAAATTTAAATAAAAATTGTATCATAGACTTCGTGCTTACTAGGGTATTACTTTTTCTTGCATAGAACAATGAATGATGAAACCAAGTTTACACATGGGAATGAATACTATGAAGCATTGTAAAATTCAGAGTAAGGGATCTGGAATCAGAAAACCTCACTTTGATCCCCACTCTATCTTTTAAGCAGTGTTAAGATACTATACCAGTCACTTAATGGTGCTGAAAGATAAAATAATAGTTGTCAAATTATTTTTGCAGTTAGTAAAGCATTATGGAGTACTAGTTATTATTATAGAAATTATACTTCTCATTTTTAAAATCTTAAGAAAATATAAAGCACTTTTAAAAGAGTGTCAAATATGCGAAGTGAGATTTTTGTTTTCAATATGTGAGTTATTTGTAGCAGTTGGTGAAAGATTTTGTATTATAGTGTGCTTTCCTTTTTTTAACTTAATAGGCCTTCACAATTCTATGTGATATTTTGATGATCTTCAGCCATCAGATCATGTCAGGAGGACGAGACATGTTAGAACCATTAGTTTATACACCTGATTCTTCACTGCAATCTGAACTGCTCAGCTTTATTTTGGATCATGTCTTCATTGAACAGGATGATGATAATAATAGTGCAGGTAATATTGCTATCTTTTTTGTTGAATCTGTCTATCTACTGATCTGTATATCCACTATAAAGCAAATTTAAGTAAAACTGCATTGTATTTTTATCTTTAAGACATGAAACACAGGTATCTATTCCAGTATATTTCTGTTTATTTGTTGAAATACTATGAAGAAAAAGTCAGATGTGTGCTCTAACTGGCCCTGAACCTGCTTTTCTAATTTTTAGGTGCCTTGAACTTTGTGTATCGATTAATGTTGAACAGAGTAATTAGTACAGTGTTTGGGCATATAGTTGGTAGTCAGTAAAATTAATTTTATTCCCCTTTTTCATTGATCATACCAATATTCAGATAATTTGAGAAGAGTAAAGTGTTTTCTTAAAAGACTTTTATGTATACTTGTATAACAGGATAGGTTTTTATATTTTATATAATGTAATAATATTTTATATTACATGATGTTAATGTGATCTTTGAATGTTAGAAAATGTTCTGTAAAAGTCTGGGATAGTATAGAATGTTCACAGGCTAATAATCCTACTGGCCTCACCTAGTGTTGTTGTAAGCAGGCCAGATATCAAGCAGTTCTTGTCTAGTGTGTATGCCAGTGGAATCATGCAGACAATGATTTGAGATGTAAGCAGAAAGAATTTATTTGGGTTTGGCAAGCCAACAGTAAGATGGTCTTGTTACCAAAAACTAGGCTCCTTGAATAAAGAATAGTTATGTTATATAGAGTTTTATTTTTAAAATATTTATTTATTTAGAGAGACCAGGGTGAGGGGACAAGGGAGAGACAGATGATTTGATCTTCCATTTCTGGTTTCACTCCCCAAATGCTTACAACAGCCAGGGAAGGGCCAGCCTTAAGCTAGGAGTCTGGAACTCCATCCAGGTTTCCTACATGGAAGGCTGCACATTAGCAGTGCACTGCAATCAGAAGTGGAACACTCTGGAATAAGATGTGCACATCTCTCGTGAAATCTTAACCACTGCACCAAATGCCTGCTCCCGTAGATTACATATCAGGGAACTTGCAAGAAGCCTTAGGCATAGTTGAAAGCGGGAGGGTGTGCATACTCACTAAATTAACATGTATGTTACTTGCATCCTATGTTCATTTGGGAATGGAGATTTAACATTGTAATAAATGAGCTTTTGGCTTTCTAAGTCAGTGTATGACAGCTTGTATGCAAGCTTTTCAAGCCTGCCACAGCTGGATTAGGACTTGGCAGCTTCTTGATAGGTTGCCTGCCTTGTGTCTGTCTATAAGACCACCTTTTTATCCTTAGCTTTGGTTTAGTAAAGGTTTGGTGATTTTCTTAGGGTGGTTGGTAATTTCATCATTAATGACATACAGATATCTTACTTGAACATGAGGTTGTGGTAAAGAAAGTAGTATTTGGTGGGTTCTTTCTAGGTTTGTTTACACTTGAAGGAAAACAGAACACTAACATTTATGTATCTATATATAAACTGGCATATCTATGTATGTGTGTGTGTGTGTGTGAGAGAGAGAGGGAGGGAGAGGGAGAGAACACATACATGTAACTTACTTGTAGCAATAAAGAGTTTTGTGCTCTGGTACTTTCCCAGAACCAGGATAGACAGAAATAGTTGTCAAAATCCTTATAGTAATGTTCGTATACTTTCAGTTTTTCTTTTTGTTTTTTTTTTAAAAATTTATTTATTTGAAAGTCAGAGTTAGAGGAAGAGACAGAGATCTTCTGTCTGCTAGTTCACTCCCCAGATAGCCAGATCCAGGAGCCAGGAATTCCATCCAGATCTCCCATGTGGATGATAGGGACCCAAGTGCTTCAGCCATCAGCAGCAGCTTTCCAGGGTGCACCTTAGTAAGATGTTGGATTCAAAGTGGAGGCAGGATCCAGTCTCAGGCACTGTGATATAGGATGCAGGTATCCCCAGCAGCTGCTTAACCAGCTATACCACAACATCCACAACTGAGTTTAACTCTTGAAGAGAAAGACCTTTTCTCATGTGTTCATATCCATATAATCTAGTATACTCTCTGATACACAATGAAGTTTTTAAAACTAATGTTAAGAATAAAAAGATAACCAGTAGCTGAGAGTGAAAAGTGAAAAACTAAAAGAATACAGAGATCAACATTGTGGTGTAGCAGGTTAAGGCAACACCCATATCCCATATGGGCCCTGCTATGTGTCATGGCTGCTGCACTTCCCATCTAACTCCCTGCTAATGACCTGGGAATGGCAGTTGAAGATGGCCCAAGTGTTTCAGCTCCTGCCACCCATGTGGGAGGCCAGATGAAGCTCATGGCTTCAGCCTGGCCCTGCTCCAGCTGTTGAGTCCATTTGGGGATTGAACACGTGGATGGAAGATCTCTCTCTATTTCTGTCATGTCAGAATGTGTGTCTGGATATTTATAACTTAATTTGTGGGCCATATAGAATTATCAACTCAAATTTATTGAATTTCATGTCCCATCTATGGTTGCCTTGGTCAAGACCAAACCAAATGATTTCACGGGCCCACTTGCCACATGTGATAGACCATGTGAAATTGAATGAACAAGATTGTCAGTACTGCTGAGTCTTCTAGAAGCTCTCTAGAATCACCTCAGAGTCTTGTCTCTTGAACTTTGTTTTTCAGTTTACGCTTTTAAATGAAACATATTCAAATCCTTGGGGGAAATATAGGAGACAACATTTGTACATACCTACATACCAGTTTTTGTCAAACTCTGTTTTATTCCAGGATTTTTTTAAAGATTTATCTATTTATTTATTTATTTAAGAGGTAGAGTTACAGACAGAGGGAGAGAAAGATCTTTCATCCATTGGTTCACTACCCAAATGGCCAGAGCTGGGCTGATTCGAAGTCAGGAGTTCTGGGTCTCCCATACGGGTATAGAGGCCCAAGCACTTGGGCCATCTTCTGCTTTCCCAGGACATAGCAGAGAGCTGGATCAGAAGAGGAACAGCTAGGACTTGAACGGACACCCATATGGGTTGCTGGTGCCACAGGTGGTGGCTTAACACATTACACCACAGCTCTGATCCCTTATGGCTTTTATAAGAAGTAAAATTCATTTACCTAAGAAGTACTCATTTGTATTGTTCTCCAGTCACACAATTCTCCCCCTTTGCCTAGAGATAACTGCTACCCTAAGTTTGGTATTTATCATATTTCTACATTTTAATTTTATTTTACTAGGAATATATAACTCTTTATTATATATATGTAGTTTATATTTTTCTGATGCTAATGTCCATGTAAATTATATGTTGAGCATTTGAAACTTGCTTTACTCAGTTAAAATTATTAAAATATTTCACTGTTGACATGTGTTCATCTTTTTTAAAAAATATTTTTAGGGAGAAGCAGACAGAAAGTTCTTTTATCATCTGGTTCACTCCCCAAATGGCTGTAGCAGCCAGAGATGGGCATATCTGAAGCCAGGAGCCGGGAGTTTCTTCCAGATCTCCCATGTGGGTACAGAGGTCCAAGCAATTGGGTCATCTTCCATGCTTTCCCAGGCACATTAGCAGGGAGCTGGATAGGAGGAGGAGCAGCTGATACATGAACTGGTGCTCC